TTAACCCTCTCTAGGATGAATCTGTTTGTTTTCTTGGCAGTGCATGGTATACTCAATACTCTTCTCCAGCACCACAGCTCGAAGGTGTCAATTCTCCTATCCTCCCTAGTCATTGTCCAACTCTCTGATGCATAACAAGTGATTGCAAAAACCATGGCCTGTATCAGGCGCACCTTAAACCTTCTCCCTTAGACCTTTGTAGTACACCTCTTGCTCCAATTGTTAATTGTCAAACATATAATGCCTAATCATACATTCTTTTCAGAGAGTCCTTCTCCTTATATTAGTTCTTATGGATTTGTTTCAACTTTCTCATCTTCAATTTGAACTTGAAAATGAGTAATTGGTGGCTTGCTCCATAGTCAACACCTGTTCTGGTTTTCATGGCGGATATTGAACTTCTCTAATGATTCCTTCCACAAATGTAGTAAATTTATTCCTATGCAGTGTATCAGATTAGGTCCACGTGTAAAGTGCATTTTGTGTGTGTGTGTGTGTGTTTTTAAACATTTGCTATGAATAAGCTAAATAATGTACAAAGTTCAATCATTCAATCTTTTGGCTATCTTCCTTTGTGAGAAACCAGGAAGAAAGTAAGAAATTGTTGTTGTTCTTGTTGATTGCCATCGAGTTGAGCATGCCTCACAGCCACTCTATGAACGAAAGACCTAATGCCTTTCTATAAACTATCATTATTTCTCCAAGTTTCTAGATTTTCCAGAGGCAGGTGGTTAGGAAGTAGATGCCACTCCTCCATCCAAACCTGTTTTACAGCTGGGAGCTCCACCAAACACTGTCCACTTTGGGAAACCATTATGGCATTTGATATTTCCCTGGCACAAGGTTCAGCATCACAGAAAACCCAGGTTACTTCATACAGCACATTGACAAAGAGTGATGTGCAAAGTGGAAGAATGTTCCTCCAGATATAATAACACTAGTCTCAGTTAGCAGTGGTTAAATTTTGTCAAGTTGAATACGACTAGTCATTGAAAAATTTGTCGAGCATACTTTCATTCCCTGCCAAAATAACATCAGACTATTTCAAACATATTCTCTTTCTAAACATTTTGCCCTTGAAGGTGAATTTGATTATATTGTTTTAGAGATGAGGATTTGGAAGTTAAAAAACCTTAGTTGGTTTGTGCCAAGCCTCACAAGGGGGAAATCAAACATGCACTTGATGGTATCCTCCGAGTTCAAATCTCAACCTTTTCCCTTTACACTTGCTATCACGTATCTCCTACCCTTGGGGTCAGATTTCAGAGCCACTCTGGATCTAGACCTTCGGTGCTTGCCTCTATACCACACTATCTCCTTTAACTGGGTGTACCTAATGTCTACCTGTGTCTGGCCTGCACTTGCTGGGGGATAATAGACAGACTCTAAGGATTTTTCACTGATACCTAGAACTCTGGTGGTGCAACAAGAATACCTACTTAGCTGCTAACTGAAAGGTCAGCTGTTTTTGGACCCCAAAGCCACTGCACAAGAGAAAGATGTGACTGTCTGCTTCCATAGAGATTTACAGCTTCAGAAACTCTTTGGGGCAATTTTACATGTCATATAGAGTTGTTATGACACAGAATCAACTGGATGGTAATGGGTTTGAATCCCATTCTAAGAAACTGTGTGGGCAACTAGCTGACACGCTATGGGGAACACTGTAGGTCCAAGAAGGGATAAACATTCAGTTGCAAATCATCTCCTCCAGCATTCTGTGTGTAATACTCAGCCTGAGAGATCACATCATAATCCCTTCTGTCACATCCCTCCATCCTCTGGCCAGCCCCTTTCCTCTTCCAACCTTTTCCTATCTGCTTTATGATTGGAAGTAAGACATCTGGAAGCTCACCAGAACACTCGGTTTGTGAAACAGAGGGATGGAAGACACCTGAAAAATAAAATCAGAAAATTGAAATGTGTGAGGGCCATTCATCCCTATTCTCATGTGTTGTCTCTCTAGAGTGTGGTGGGAGCAGAAGCTCTTCTGGAGGTCCCACTAAAACACACACACACACACACACACACACACACACACACACACGAATGAATGGTTGGATGGTTGGAAGGACGGGAAGTCTCCGAGCCCAAGTCCTGGATTTCTTAATAGGACACCTCTTCCATCGGGCTATTAGTATGTCCGTGTTCACATCTCAAAGAACATTCCAATGGACTAGTCAACCTAAGCTTTGCATCCTCCCTTCACATGCCCTCTATGAGACATACCTGCGAACAAAGGCCCAGACTGGAAATCTCTGGAGCCTTGGAGAAGAGACAATTAGGAATCAAAGAAACCTGCCTGCTTTTTTCTTCGAAACAAGGCAGCAAATAATCAAGCCAATAATGACGAATATACACACGACTGGAGCCGTAATCATAACCAATCTGTTCGTCACTGATCCTGTCTCAGGCTCATCTAAAAAAACAAGAAGAAATTTTCCAACTGAAGCCCAGGTGTCTTTATGAAATCCTCCACTGAGCCCTTTCTAAGCTCTCTTTGGGAATTGGGTGGGTTCATCTGTCTTCAGGGATTTTATGACCTCTGAGCAGGTGTGCTAGGGAGTGGGAGTCCTCTGGCAGGCAGGGCAGGATGGAGGAGAGAGTCTACTTTCCTGAGGCCCTTTGTCCTGGGTTCTGAGTGGACAGGGTCTGGAGGAAGGACTGAGGATGGGCTTCTGGAAGCAAGGAAATGAAGGCGAAGTCTTTGAGGGGCTAGTATAAGGTACAGAAGTATAAAAGTCTTCTTCTAGAAGTTCTTGGCTGCTTCCCTCTGGGGCACTCTTTTGGAGCTAATATCACACCACACACCTGTCTAAGGCTTTTAGAGAGGTTTGGTGTAGACTTACCTTTACAGAATCTTTCAGTAGTGATGGAGAAGGATGAATTGCTGACAGGATTCTCAGCTATGCAGGTATAGTTCTGCTTTCTGGAATTCTTAGGGTCCCAGGAGATGGTAAGGTTTGGACCCATCTGTCTTGAGGGCTGCCATATGAATAAGACGTTGCCATTTGGATTCTCCACAGAGCAGAACATCTGGATCTCACAGGTCTCATTCTCAGACAGTGTAAAGTTATAGGCAATGTTTACTTTCTGCAGTCGTTCTGTATACAGAGAAAATACTTCTATTAAGGACAAATGGCTCAGCTCAGCCCCCTATGAAAAATATCCTTCACCTCAATGTTTCTATATTCCATTTAATAGTGTTTAGTATGTTGTGGACTACATTTTGTATAAATAGCTGCTAGAGTTACTCAATTGATGCTTAACCTTGACATTTTTCAAAGATGCCAGGCACAGAGTGGATTCTTGCTCCAGATACCTGCATGATTCAATCTTCAACTGACATAATTTCAGACAGATACATACTGATTGCTCCATTTCACACTGATCATCCCATAACCCTGAACTCCTGATACTTTCTACTCTTTTCCAGTCACCCCCACCCCACCCCACCATTCATAGGGAGCTCAGGTGGCCTAGTGGGTAAAGAGTTGTGCTGCTAACTAAAAAATAGGTTCGAATCTACCAACTGCATCTCAGGGAAAAAAGATGGGCAATCTCCTCCAGTATGATTTATAGCCTCTGAAAACTCACTGTAGAGTCAGCTATGAGTCTATTCTGATGGAATAGCATGTAACAGCAACATACCACTCATGGCTTCTTAACATATAATTTGTTTATATTATATCTATCTATATCTATATCATCTATATCTATATCTATAATCTATATATATTGTTTACTATCATCCATCTGAATTCCCACCTGAATTTAAAAACTATCTCCAGAACATGTTTGAGGCCTAGAACACTAATAAATGAAGACCAGATGAGCTTTGGGATGATATAATGAATATCATCCATGAAGAACACAAAAGGTCATTACTAAGACAGAGGAAGAACATTAAGACAGAGAAGGATGTCAGAAGAGGCTCTAAATATTGCACTAGAATGCTGAGAAAGAAAACGGAAGAAATCAGGAAGGAGCTGAACAGCATATTTTGATGGTGTGGGTCACAACACATTGTGGCTAACCTTGAGAAGAATGAGAATCATAGAACATTTGATTGTGGTTATGTGAAACCTACACTTAGACCCTGAAATAATTGTATGCACAGAGCAAGGAAACACTGCATGGTTCAAAATCAAGAAAGGAGAGTGTCAGGGATGTCTCCTTTTTCCATGTCGTTTCAATATATATGTGGAACAGATCATTTGGAAAGCTGGAATATATGAAAAAGAAAGGGACATTAGGACTGGAAGAAGGATTATCAACAACTTGTGTTATGAATATGATGTAACCTTGCTTGCCAAAATTAAGGAGGACTAAATTAAGGAGGACTTGAAGCATTTGCTGCATAAGGTAAGGACTATAGTCTTCAATATGGATTGCCCCTCAATATCAAGAAGACAAAGATTCTCACCAACACGTCAATTGGAAGCATCATGATAGATGGAGAAGAAATTGAGGTTGTTAACAATTTTATCTTGCTTGGATCCACAATCAATACTCTTGGCACCAGCAGTGCAGAAAGCAAAAGAGAAATATCTTTGGGAAAGTCTGTTGTCAGGGACCACTCCAAAGCACTGAGGAGCAATCATGTTAGTCTAGGTCTGAATGTGCAAATTATTGAACAATATCACTGATTTCACATGCAAGTACAATACTGCTGAAGATAATTAAAAAATGGCTGGAACAATACATAGATAGGGAACTGACAGAAGTTCAAGCAGGATTTAGAAGAGGCCATGGCACCAGGGATATAATTGCTGATGTTAGATGGATCCTGGCTGAATGTAAGGAACATCAGAGGAATGTCTATTTGTGCTTTATTGACTATACAAAGGTATTTGACTATGCGGATCATGACAAGTTGTGTCTGACATTGAAAAGAATGGGAATCACAGAGCACTTGATTGTGCTCATGAGGAACCTACTATACGTGGAACAGGAGGATGTTCTGTGAATGGAGCAGGGGAGCACTGCATGGTTTGGAATTGGGAAGGGAGCATGTCAGGGATGCATTCTGTCTCCATACCTGTTTAGTCTATATGTTGTTGTTGTTGTTATGTGCCATCGAGTCGCCTGCGACTCATAGCGACCCTATGTACAACAGCCCTAAACTCCGCTCTGTCCTGTGTCAATCGCACTGTCTCTGACACTCCCATTCCAATTTCCCCAGTCACTGAATCAATCCACCTCATAGAGGGCCTTCCCCTC